TAAATGTCCTTAAAGCTTCTACAAGATGAGGAAAAGACTCTCTTGCTCCAGAAGAAAAACAGGCTGTATGATTTCATCTGAAAAAACAGCGATTCTGCTAAAGCACAAAGACTCATTATTCCAGAAATGCACTGTGTTAACGTGGCTCAGTCTGTCCCATTATGAAAGCCATTACCATCCAATTAGTACACAGTGGTTAGTATTGTTTTCATTGTTAAAATAAACTATAAAGTCAGCCTACATTTGCCTTTATCTTTTACTTATGTATTAATTTGTATTCGTGCTGTACCCTCTCATCTCTGTGAGCTGCAACATCAAGGTCAGTAGGGGGAGCTCACCCTTTATCTGTCAGGGTTTGGGCTTTTTAAAGTGGAATATCAAAGCAGAGAGACTATTGGAAAGACAACAGAAATCTTAAAATAGAAGGAACAGGTCAGACTTAATTAGAGCCTGCTAAACATACCAAGAGCCTGGTCCTGCAAACACGTCTGGCTGTGGAACCCACCAGCCTGCATAGCACATTAGAAATGCCAGTTCCACTCAAGCCTTTAAGTATTACAAGAGCCCCCCCTATCGGATTTCATACTATATTATTTTCATATTCTTTCACAGTCCACATAACCTGTCACAGTGAGCTACCAGATGAGTAAACCTCCTTTTTTGAACATTTCTTTAAAGTTTTGGGCACATCTATATTCTTGGAATTTTCATCAAAATTGCTAGGGACTCATGCAGAAACATACCTACTTTTTAACTTTTATCTGCTCACATAAAGACTGCTTCTAGAAGCTTTCCAGCCATCTGCAGTAATTAGATGCCTAAAGATCCAGGGAAGCACAGAGATGGATTTTTGAAGGCATATAATGGCCTGTGTTACTATTTTGAAGATTCAAAGGTTGCTGTTGCTGCAGGCGGGGAAGCGTATAAATTCACAACTGTGCTTTTTCCACACTGTTAATGAATATGAAGAAGCTCCTACAACTCTCCGTTTTTCCATTTTCAAATGTCGTAACAGCATAACTTAAATGTCCTTAAAGCTTCTACAAGATGAGGAAAAGACTCTCTTGCTCCAGAAGAAAAACAGGCTGTATGATTTCATCTGAAAAAACAGCGATTCTGCTAAAGCACAAAGACTCATTATTCCAGAAATGCACTGTGTTAACGTGGCTCAGTCTGTCCCATTATGAAAGCCATTACCATCCAATTAGTACACAGTGGTTAGTATTGTTTTCATTGTTAAAATAAACTATAAAGTCAGCCTACATTTGCCTTTATCTTTTACTTATGTATTAATTTGTATTCGTGCTGTACCCTCTCATCTCTGTGAGCTGCAACATCAAGGTCAGTAGGGGGAGCTCACCCTTTATCTGTCAGGGTTTGGGCTTTTTAAAGTGGAATATCAAAGCAGAGAGACTATTGGAAAGACAACAGAAATCTTAAAATAGAAGGAACAGGTCAGACTTAATTAGAGCCTGCTAAACATACCAAGAGCCTGGTCCTGCAAACACGTCTGGCTGTGGAACCCACCAGCCTGCATAGCACATTAGAAATGCCAGTTCCACTCAAGCCTTTAAGTATTACAAGAGGCAGAAAATATTTATTGCATCGGTACAATAAATTCAGTGCAGCAAAAACAGTCATTGGCTCCACTGAGCAAACAGTAATGTATCCCATGCTGACCCTGCTGAAATCAATGGGAATTCAGCCTTTGAGTGATGTTCTGGCTGCTCTCAAAGTCTCTAAGCAGTGTCATTTCATAGGCTATGCTGGCTTTGACACAGCTGCTAGGTAAGAGGGTACAGGTGTTATTTCATGGCAATTGCTCTCCAGACTGATACAGTTATTAGAAATAAAGCCATGCAGTGAGCAGATAGAGAGGGCAGCTTCAGCATAAGTAAAACCTTCATATCTGGCATTCCAATGAAATTGCTGCACAGCTTTAAATTTGATGGCAACCCTGCGCCTGGCTCTGGCAGAGCCTAATTGTGCGGGGAAAGCAGCCTAGACAGCAGGGGCTCAGCACAGATGCTGAGGCAAAGTCCTTTAATCCACAAAAGACCAGCAAAAGGAAGCAAAGCTTTCCATAAATAGGAAGCACACTGACTGTCCAGTATTCCACCCCAGAGACACCGTGAGAGTGAGCTCCTCCAACACACTCCTTCCCTGTAGCATAGGTACCTCCTCTTGAAAAAGTCCTCTCCATCTCTTCCAAAGGTCCCTGCTGTTAGTGAGACTCCTCAGCATATCCTTCCCCAGTTCCTCCTACTCAGTGGCTGAAGACAACTATTTCTTTTCCACCTGATAGTCCCAGCAGCTGCTGTGAAGGTTAAATGACTCATATGTCACGAGGTTTATCAACATCAGAACCACTAAGGAGGAGGCAAGGCTCGATGTCCACCTTGTAGAGCAACACAACACTTCATTTGTACAGAGTGAACAATGCTCTGGTTTATGGAGGAGAGAGGCCAAGCTGCAAATTTTAGATCAAGGATTTGGGGTTTCTTCTTGCACTGGGAGCTGCTTCCAACCAGATACAGAGCAGACACTGAAAACTCTGATGTTTGGGATTTTTTCAGGTTCCAACGTTTAGCTTTTTGCTAAGGTCCATACCTGGATCTGAAATGCTCAAATTGACTTCATCAGAGGTCAATTCTTTACCACCAAGATTTGAATCTATTGTTCTAGATGGTTCAAACCTCATGGTTTAAGCAAATTCCAGGCACTGAACTACCAAAAACCCACTATATCACCTCTGTGCAGCAAAAAAATTATTCAGTATACTATAAAAGGCAAGCATCTATGAGACAAATTAATTTGAAGTCTCATAAATAAGAAATACAGTAAGGCATTAGGATAGTAAAGCTTGAATTTAAACATTTGGCTCCCAGTGCTAAGAATAACACAGCTTCATGCTCCATTACTGAAAAAACACTCTGGATTTATAGTAGGATCTCATTTTGCTCTATTAATCTGATTGCTCCAAGCAATTGCAGTAAGCTGAGATGTCAAAGAATCATATTTATAATCTGCTGCTGCCAAGACAAACTGCTTTTGTTTGATAACAAGCCTGCTGCCACCCTTGGGATGTGGCTACACAGAAAAGTGAGAGGTAACAACATGGTGGAGGTTTTCGATACTGAAAGGCAGACATACCCTTTCTGAACTTTAATATGAACAATTTAATTTTTAAGAAAAGCATGGCTGGTAACTAAAGACCAATAAAACTTCCATGCTGTGAGGTGAGCAATAGAACTGGTTTTTCTAAAGAGATGCTGTGAAAGCATGCATAACAATGTCTTATCAGAAATAGATAAAACTGCTCCTGCAATTATACACACTTGGCACAAACTCTGTGTAGCTGCTGACAACGCTAATGATGTGCTAAGAGAGCTCTAGGTGATGCTGCAGAATTGGATGATTTCTCTGTATCTGTTCGCATACACATACTAATATCCATCAAGTATATGATTTGGATCCTACCAATAAGATGCTCCACACAAGGGCTTTAAGGTATTCATAAAGTTGGAGTACAAAGTATTGTAGAGAGTTTGATTCAGTCGTGTCTTTCCAGGACTAGACCTTAAGATATGAATACACGCATCAGTTCCCACAAGGTGAGCAAGGATGAAGACTCCCAAGGCATCATCACTCCCTGGTAACTGTCAATATGCACATGCTGTCCCTCACAGTAAGGTAAACATAGCTGCCCACTCCTTCACTGAGGGTACTGCCCACTGTGAACAGGGCACAGTTATTACAGAAGAAATGTTCTTCTGGGTCAGTCTATCCCTTCCCGATCATATTTTGTGCATTTGTGCACATCTTTAGAAGGTGAATTATTGAGGGCTATCAGATTATTTAAAGATCTTGTGTCTTATTTAACCCAAAACCCATTTTGCTATGGCATTTCCTGGACAAGGAAAACCTCCAGTATAGACCTTAGTGTCTATATACTAATGTATTAACTTTCCTTCTGGGTCTTCTGTTGCCTTCTCTTCAAACACATCAGCATCACCTTGGAAAGTGTCTCCATGAACATGGACTAAGAGCAGCTTCTTGCTGTAATTTTACATAATTACACACTGTCCTCGGCTGCTGTAAACTTTAATTAAAATTGCTGTAGTGTTACATTCTTGCATCATTATGGCTTCATAATAATCTCATCGTAGCAGAATCTCCAGAGGCTTCTTACGATTGCTGTGACATTCACCCTGTCCCTGAAGTAAAGTCTCTGGGCTGTGACAGCATTCTGGCACTTTACTAAGGACATACTACGTGTCTGGAAAACGACAGGCTGGATTATTTTGCTATGGCAAACTAGAAAAATAATCAGCAGAAAAATGTCTGAAGTCTTTCTTCACTGTTTGCTTCATTGCCCTTTGGCTAAGCTATAAAGCATAGTAACGCCCACATCTTCTGTCAAGGACTGTGTTTCCTTGCAAAGGAGAGGGTTTGATTTACCTGGTCTTGGTCTCCAGGGCTTGCATGGCCAACCTGTAATTAACCCTTTTCATTCCAATACATGTCCCCAAGTACTTTGAAAACATGAATTAACTATACCTTGCAGATATCTCAAGAAGAGTATAATAGTCTTACATCTCCTAGTACAGAAACTAAAGCCCAAGGGCTCTTTCTTAGGTAAATCAACAGCAGAACCAGATGAGAACCCGAAAGTACTAGATTCTGGCATCACTTGCCAACCACAAAGCTACTCTTTCTTCTGCTACATTTTTCTTCAAACCGCATCATATTTGTTCCGAAAAACTAACAGTAAACCAAAATACAAGCACCTATGGATGTAGGAACTCTAGCATTCCTCACCATTGATACATGAGATGTACAAAAAGGAAAAATATACTGGCTCTGTTCCCAGGGTTGCCCTACTGTCACTACAAATAACCACAGTCAAAAGAGAGAATGTCTTTGATCATTATATTTTCTGCAACCAGAGAAACATTAGTGGAACTGAAGTGGATTATTTTTAAGAAACATGCACATACCTTTGATAGCAAAAACTCCATGACAGAACTCCTTAAAATTGATTCTTCCCAAATCATTTGGGTCCAAGTACTTGGCCAGTTTTTCCACCTAAAAGAAAAGATCATAAAATATGTGCTGAGCTTGGTGTATCATCTGTATATCTTCCACAGAAGACCCCAAGTGGAAGAGGACCTGTAATATTCACTTTAATCAGCCAACAAATCATTCTACAAGGATAAATCATGTCTTATCATTGCATTATCTAGTGCCAAGTAAGGCAGGTGCACTGACCAAAACTTCCACAGCTGGGACACATTAATACTCTTCTCTGTGGATCTCAAGAGCTTAATCTGTGACCTAGCCTCTCATCTTAGAGCAGGGTACTGACAGAATCTGCTTCCCTAGGAGCCCTTGCTGTGTATGCAGCTCACAGCAATGTAAAACTTTAGTGATGTCCATACCTTTTATCAAAAGTTACTGGGAAAGGAGAAAGGACAGATGTACAACCCATACTAGCCTCATTCCCTGAAGAATCCAGACTATAGGAGAGAAAACTCATTGGACACTTAGGATAAAACAACTTTACCACAACAGAGAATACAAGTTTTGTATAGGAAAACAGAAGTATGTTAACAACACTAAAAGATTCATGTGATAAGAGAGAGAATGGTTCTGTTCAGTACACTGTGCAAACAAGCAATATACTTATTGCTTATAATCTCAGCCTCACAGTTTAGCCTTTCTGATCACTACTCACCATAAAATGAGATTACACCAAATTTAAACACAGCCACCAGAACGGCATTTGCCCCAAAGGTGTGGCAGATTTTTCAGCAGGGTTTTGGGGAACAGGGAGAAAAGCAATCTGAACTGGGAGACTGTTGTGTCTTGAATAAAGGAATAGAGAACAAGCAGCTGAACAAGAAGAAAGAGAGGGCGAACAGTCGAGGGAGGTGGGCACAGTGCTGGAAGACCGCAGCTGGCCGTTCCTTTCTCTGTGATAAATATGCTGTGTGACATTCTGTAAGTCCCCTCGTGTCCCTGTGCCTTTGCCTGTTGTACCTAGCAGGTACCCTCGCTGAGGCAGAGGCAGCCTCTTGCTCCTCGTAGCAATCTCAGTCAGCTGTAACACAACACTGACCTTGATCTGGGCCCTCCAGACACCCTGGAGAATAAACAAGATGAGCGTAGGAGGCAAGGACAGCAGGCACGTAGGATGCTGCACAATCCTGGTGACTACAATGCGAGCTCAGATATGTCAGTCTGAGCAGCAACAAAAGCCCAGCTGGAAAGAAATGCAGCAAATGAATCCAGATGACCCAGTTTCTCAATTTTCTGGTGTGTTTTTTTTTTTTTCATGCTAGCAAAACCCTAGCAGTTTCTTAAAGCCCTGCAGATAATGCACTAATGTGCGCGCATGCGAATGTGAAAGGACCAACTTGATCCTTACATTGAATCCTTTCCTCTCTCCTTTTCTGAGGCAAAAAAAGTCAGTTCATGTAGGCAGAACAAATAAGGAGCTGCATGACGAGTTCAGAGCCCACGACAAGTTATAAATCTTCCTAAAACTTTCTTATTGCAGGAGGCTTCAGCAGCTCCAGTCCTGCCAGCCAAGCAGCAGAGCCCAGCTCTCAGCTACTGTGCGATTCATGATCAAATTCCTACTTCTAGTATCACAAGCGATTACTGTAGCCCCATTAATTTATAGCAGAAGACATGTTTCTGTTTCCAAAACATAGCCATTTCACAAGTAGTGTGCATTTAATGCATACAAGACTAGCTGGAAATCCTTACTGAAACCAATTAAGTAGAGACACACTTAATACAGGAAAGCTGGGTCAGTGTTATCCCTGTTCACCTTCACAAACAACACAGATGTTACAGAAAGATGAAGCGGTGGCAAAAAGTCATTTCTTCAAACTGGTTTTGGGTGTACTCAAAGCAAGATAATAGAACAAGCTATTGAGGCTGGGGGCAGCAAGAATTTACAGCTGAAAATCTTCCTGACCACTGTGGTAGCTTAAATACATGGCAGATGTGTCAGCTGGTGTGACTCAGCCTGGTTCCAGAGCCTTTGATGAGGACCTTGGTGTGGCCACCAGCTGAGCATCTGTCCCCTCATGGATACAGCCACAAAATCTAATCACATACCAGTCTTCTAGGTTACAAGATCAGCCCATAACTCTCTTTGACAAACGGCAAGCTCCCATCATTGTAATGTAAGTAAATACTAGTTCAGATGCTTGCAGGGATGCTTTAGAGAATCCTGCTTTCTGTAGCTCTCTTGCTAAGAGGCAACAAATTGTGCTTTAGGTCTTAATGTACAGATTCCTGCAGCCAGCGGGGAAGCCTCTGCACTATTTAATATTGTGCTATAACACAGTAGTGTCACTGGCTGTTCCCAGTGAATCTGGCACATAACGTTTATTTCTCAAAATTGATCCAATGATTTTAGTCTACCAGTTGCTCAGTCATATACAATTACATTTTTTAATCAAATTAAATTAGATGTTTTATCCCTGGGTGTGTGTATTATGAAGGAACACAAAATATGTTCACATTTCGGTCTAAGCAATGTCTTAACAGTAAATGAAATTATCACCTGAGCAAAGTGCTTCAGTGTTCAGTTTCCCCTAAATCTAATTTTGCAGGTTTTAAATTAGATTTTATAATGCAAATAACTGACATCAGTGCAGAAGACGATGAAGACTTTGCAGAGCAGCCTGATGGAATTTATGCCACATCTTCAGCCAGCGCTGATCAACAGCTCCCAGCACAGGTCAGGGACTACAAGGATTTTGATCAACTGGGACTACATTTAGGTGGGCACTTGCACAGAGTTCTACATTAATATACATGCATGTATTGTACATAAATCCCTCCATATTTGCACAGAGTTTCGACCCTGAAGTGCACAATCATGCATTTTTTCCAGTAGCTTTCTGGGATAAGGCAAGAAACTCTTCCTAGTTAATTCCAGACTGAAGGCATTACTTAAAATTAAGCTCAATTTGAAGCTGTAGGCAAATAAACTATGCCATCACAGCCACCCCTAAATCTTCTCTGCTATCTATACTGCGCCAACCATCCTTCTGCTTCACTTTGTAGAGAAATAATGTCCTACTCCTCCTTCTCAGAAAGGGCTGGTTCCTAGCAATTAATCAGAAGTTGTAATGCTTATTTATTGCCTCCGGAAACGTTAAGGGCTTGTCAGCCCAACTGCCAGGCTGCGTGACATCGAAGTATTTTTTGCAGTTAACAGCCCCCTGGGCTTACAGCTAGGGTAGTCTGCTGGCAAACGAGGGAGCAGCAGCCTCTCAGCCTCTGTAGTGGAACAGGCGACGCAGCCCGTGTTTGCATCCATGGAAGACGCAGGACTCCTGAGCCCCCTGCATCTCTAGACAGTGCTGGGCTCTGCCTCCTCTGCTGGTCCCACCGCAAGGGACACAGCACTGCCAACACAACTGGTGCCATGATTCAGTGCTGAAATGACCACGTGAAGGTTGTGATACCTACAGGCAGCACAGGGAACATACTGTGCTCTCCAGAGCTTAACATGATAAGCCATCACGATGAGCTAGAGACAGTGTTTTGGGCTGGGGACAGACACTTTTCTCTGCATTGCTGCACAGAGCAGTTCCCCACCATGTGGGACAGCACTAACAAGGTCTGGATTGCAAGCTAGTTCTTCATTGTAGGAAGAGGACAAGGACAGAAAAAATTAGCTGCAGGCTCGATAATCTAGCTGGTTCTTTTGGCAGCTGCAAGGGTCTCTCTAATGAACCCTCAGTAGACATCCAATAGTCTCAGAGAGAAGACATAAATCATTTTTGCTTTGGGAAACAATCAGAGAAAACCAAACTCTCTGTCTCTATTGTTTAACTTGCCTGGATGCATGGGTGATTATCCTTTCAATGCAAACATATTTCTCCATTGTCATAACAGGTCACTTCAGCCAAAGCATTTGCCTCCTCTCTGTTGGGTTTCCCAGCTATACTGACTGCGCTGCAGAGATGTTTGCCCCCCTGCTGCTTTCTGACATGTAAGAGCAGGCTAGGAACACTTTAAAGAGTCTCTACAATGAAAATAAAGGGACACGGTTCAGCGTGAAGAAACAATTTTGAAATCAAAACTGCCCAAGGCAGAGATGCATATTAATGAGCCGGAATTAGCAGTACAAAGCAGCGGACAATAAAGTGAGGCAGAATATTCTTCCACTAGAGAAGAACCTCTGGTTCAAAATATAAGTTCTGGATGCAACACAGAAGTGAGGAGCTGAGAGTTTGTGGTGCACACGTAGGTAAGCAGGCTGGCGTAGGTCAGGAACCAGGAAAGGTTGGATTCTCAGCTCAAAGGCTGTGAGTAAATGATTTACAACCCAGCTCTAAACAGAGACTGATCAGTCTCAGTAGAAAATCTGCCAGACTAAGCCCTACCCAGCAAAGAAGACAGAGAAGTAACTAAATGAAAAGGCTTAACAGTTAGAGACCCTGGCTGCTGCAGAACCATCTGCCGGATGCCAGAACTGATAACACAGCTGAATCCAGACATGGGAGGAGAGCAGAGGTGAAATCCTGGTGTCAGCAAAGCCAAGGCGGAAACCCACAGTCAGCCCAGGGGTTGCTCAAAAATTTACCTGCAAGGGTTTTAAATCCAGTATTCACTGGCTATTTTTGTGCCTGCAGATAGTGTCAACATGCTGTCCTTTGCTCACTTCCTTCAACAGGGGTTTCAAATGGTTCCCTGCCACACAACCCTGAAGTCTAAAGTTTTCAGAAGACCTGGTGTTTGTAATGAATTCAGTGTCCTAAAAATTACAAGGGGATGAGGGTGTTCTTCTTTGGATCTAGTAATTTTGGTTTAACTCTTACAAGACTAGCGAAGCAGGCAGAGGCAGTGAGCTTGCTGAAATACTATAACCTTTTTGATTTTGGTGCCATTTGGGTATGAGGAAAAGATTGAAGTTTTGGCAAAGTCACCCAACTCAGCATCTAGGAAATGCATTTCCTCAATTTCTTCGGCCCAAAGTTTCTCACTATGTTAGCTAGAGACACCCCTAAAAGTGGGGACAGCTTTGAATTTACTGGAGAAGAGAACTTTCTATCTCC